GCGGAGAGTCAAAGGTCCTGGGTGCCATACAGCTGGAGGCAGTTAACAAGAGTCAGGAGGCCAAACCCTGGGATGCCCAATGAAGCTGCTATTGAAGAGTGCTCTAATGTACTTGAGAGATCACTTACAACAATATCGGGATATTCTGGTAGTAAGTGGCTCACGACGGCCATGCTTTCTCATAAATTCACAGATACTATCAATAATAGAGTCTGGTAATGAATTGACTGAAAACCAGATCCATGAGTCAAAAACAAAAACCCATGAAGGGAGGAGGGTTTTCTAAAGCATGACTCCTGGAACGGTTTCCCTGAGGAAAGAGGGGAATTTACTCCACTGAGTGACTTCACATCCAAGCCCCCCACACCCCTGCTCACAGCTGCTCCCCAACATCCGCTGGAGAGATGGAGACCGGGAGGCTGGGTCTCCTACCGACAGCTGTGAGAGTTCATTTTCCATTTTGCAAACTAATTTTGTTCTTGTCAGCTGCAATGCTCTGCCAAGTGGTGGATGGGAATTTCTAAATCAAAAACCGCTAACCTCAAACCACAAGCAGCCGTGTCAAACTTCAGAAACTACTCCCAGAACCTACATACCAGAACGTATGGTAATAATGCTATAACTATTTGTAACACACTGCCAGGTTTGTCACGTTTTGGAAATTCATAGCACATTTTTGGCACACAATCTATTCGGAATAACGGCGATAAAGATGTATATATAAAAATGCATGTTTTTAATGGCCCTATTTATTTTACTGATGTGAGACAGTAAGTTAGCTAAATCTCCATCATCAATCCGTATGGCTCAGGTACAGATGAGGTCTCTGCAAAGCCAGTTGTTTATGTCTTTTAATCCAATTATGCTCAAAGCCTTCAAAATTGATATAGAAACTGCAGACTTTCAGTTACTGTGAGGTGTGTGTGTGTGTGTGTGTGCGCACATGCACACACACACACAAGCACACTCCCTCCCCACTTTCTCTAGCTGAGACACCGTATTTCACTGGGGGGAAAAAAAAGCACCCTGAAATGTTTTAAGATTTATGAAGTCAGAAGCATCTCTGACAACTTGTGAGGGTTGTTTCGGGACTTTCATTGCTTCAGCGTGAACTAATAACCCAAGGGAAGCTGGAAGCTTCACGAGAATTTAAAGCTGGAGGCCTGAACCCCCAGGACCCAACATCTAAAAGAGTTGCTAGGAATCTTGACAGGAGATTAGGACCAGGGCAGAGCCGGGAAATGATAACCAAGTCCATGCTGAGGGTGGTGAGAAGGCAAACTCCGAGCTCGGGAACTGTCAAGGGGAGAAAAGCAGGGAAGGAAATTTCCGGCCATGCTGGTGAGGAAGTGAGGAGATGGCAGGGGTGCGTCGCCCTCAGGGGGCCGGGAAGGGGCCGCTCCTGGAGGATCCCTACTGTCTGTTGTCCCTCTAATCACACCCAGCCTGTTAACCACAGCCTGTGCGGATCACAGGGCCACACTGGGACCCTCCGCGACTTGGTGTCGTCCCCTGTCAGCCAGGCCTTCTAGTGCCGCCTGCTCCACATAAGGTTGGAGAGCCCGGCCCTAGACACTAGACATCCAGCCTCTCCTTGACGCAAAAGTCAAGGGCATTCCACGGGGCTCCCTGAAGTGTTCCCTGTTCCTTTTACTGGCCTTCATCCAGATGCCGTCCCAGGCTCCACGGAGGCCTGTCCAGGTATTTTCTTCCGCCTCTAATGCAGTCCTTCTTTCTCCTTGCCATGGTGCCACTTTCATCACGGGATGGATGACCGATGGAATCCTTCCACTTAACTCTAACGGATGCCATGCAGTGTGGTGTCATGGAAAGAGTACTTTCAGACTTGGTTCAGACCCGACTCACCCACTTTCTAGCTCTGCGACCTAGAGCAAATTACTTAACCTTTGCTGAGCCTCAGTTTGCTCATCTTCAAAATGGGACTAACAATGCCTCTCATGGAGGATAATCTGAGGATTAAAGGGACCGTCTATGTAAATCCCCCACCCAGGGTCACATAGAAGTTAACACTTGTGTTGCCTTCCCCTCCTTGCCTTTCTCTTTTATCTTTGCTCCCTTCCACCTCCAAACAGGCCACACTCCTTCTCTCCTTACTTCACCTTGCCTCAGAGAAAGAGGTAAACCTGCACCTTCTCAGGGCAAACTGCTTCATTTCCCTTCCATCCCTGCTTCTCACCCTGATTAGCCTTTTCTCCTGTCTTCCAGCTCTGTCTTTCCAGCAGCTTCCGATCCTGAGACTACAAATATGCTCAAGGGTTTTTGTTTTTTTTTTTTTTTTTTTGGTCCTAAAGAGAAAAACCTTCCTTCAGCCTACTTCCCGATTATATTTTTCAAATTCGCTTATAATCTAAAATGCATACAGAGCACTTTGACTGAGCTAGCCTGGAAATCTATTAAGAGATGATTACACGTACATGTATAATCTTGGGGGGAACCCTTCTGTCAGGCTGCTCCCTTCCACTCAGACAGATCCCCAACCTGTGCCAAATACATGACACTAATACATGACACTAACCATTTCATCCCTCATCAAATGTTTAAATGCTCCCAAAATTCTAACTTAGATTCGGAGCCCTCGTGTTTCCTCTACCGTTAAAATGTGTTTTTCGTACACCGTTGAATTCACCTTATGTTTAAAGCTCTGGGTGGCATAATTCTAAATCTTTCTGAGTAAATTGCAATTAGTCCTCTATACTTCCTACCCTCTTATTAAAACATTGCTTTTATTCCTAAAGGAGATTAAGGCTTCCATTTCCGGATATTTCTCATAGTCATTTGTGGCCAGTCTGTGTGTGTGTGTGTGTGTTTTGAATTATTTTTCAGCTTTCTCCATCATTATTCTCCCACATACTCTTAACTAGAGATAAACTGCTTAACTCATTGTTTGGCAAACATGCCTTGAGGTTTTCCACCCACTCACATCTGTACACCAAAACATCGATTTCCTCCTCTCTACCCATCAATTGCTTCCCATCGTTAAGGACCAGGCTGGAGCCCACATTCCTCTTGAAGTCTTCTCTGTTCACAACTGAAAATACGTCCTCTCTCCTCTGAACACCTTCTGTGTTTCTAGCTGAGCCATGAGACTACATGTCTCATGACAGCTCTTTCTTATTTCTTGGTCTGCTTTATTATTGGACATTGTGTGCGCCTACTTTGTCTCTCAGCCCACAAGGTTTTGGTGGGCAGAGATCATATTTCTCCCACCCCTTGCCATCCGAGGCATAGCCCTGGACAGAGGAAGGGCTTCATAGGTCCCTGTTTCTGTTCCCTCCCCAAGTATTATCCCACTGTTACCCCAATTGAAGGTCAGTTTCTGACTCTTTTCACAATATGGATTTTTTTAAACTTTTTGAACTTACTCTGCAATCACTACAAAGCATCTTTCCTCCAGATTTGATTTCTGATACGACTTAATAAGCATAATAACGGTTCCTTCTTCTAGCCATTAATCAGTCCAAGAATATCATAAATTGGCTATCCACTGTGAGCAGGGAACTGAACCAAGTGCTAACATAAGAGACGATAGAAAATATGGAAGATGTGGTACAAAAGGGACAAGGGTTCAGAATTGATTACATATCATATATATAACTATAAACTCTCTCTGTGTGTGTTAGTTACATATGTAAGTTCTACACATACAAAATCACCTAACGTCAAAAGAATGTAGATAGTGCAAATATATACGATGATAAAGCATTAAGAGTTTACGGAAGAACCATTATAATGAATTATGCTTGGTAGGGGAAAAATGTTTTGGAACAGGTGATGGGGACCCATGTTTTGAAGAAAAAGAGAGGCCATAGGAACAAAGCCCATGCCTATTTTTCTGACCATCCCCCCGCCCCCCGCCATAGTGCCACTGTAGGCACTCACTTACTACTGAATAAATGAATAACCCAATATCGAAAGCAGGAGAGACTAGGTTATGTAAAAGAGCAAGCATGTTATGCTAGGGAAGCAGCAATTTATTTTCCTGGGTGGAGCCAAGAAATAACATGCAAAATGATGGAAAGGAAAGAGAGAAGGAAATGATGAATGGCATTGAAGTCTTGCCAGGCATTCTGGTTTTAATAGATAGTAACAAACACTTTATTATCCATTCATTCATATATTCCACAAATATGTAGTAAGCATCTACCATGAGCCAAAGCACTATGCTGAGATCCGAGGGTTCTGTAGTGAGCAAAACACAGTCTCTGTGTTCAAGGATTGGGCAGCCTTCTCAACATGAGCTAGTAAGTGGTGGCACATACTTATGGCTCTGGTTATTGTTACCCTAACAGTATTTAGCAAAGGGGAGCAATCTGTCTAGCCTCCATCATAGACAGCTCCGGCAGAGAGCAGAAGCCTTCGTTAAAATGAGCTCCAATGTGAAGTGTGTCAAAATAACAGATGATTTGAAGGCAGTAAGGAGGATTTAAAACTCGAGGAAGAACTTTTTGCCTGGAAGGTTGTCTGGGATTATGGAATGGTCGATTGAGTAGCTGTGGAACCAGCCTGAGTTTATTTATGGGCCCTTGCATGAGTCCAAGACTGTCAGTTTCCTCATTTTGGGGCCTGAATGATGGGCTAAAAGGATAAGTTCAGAAAAAAAAGAAGAGGAAGATGTTTACATTGATTTTTTCTTTTTTTTTTTTTTTTGGTTGTTCAGATTTAACTCGGTCTTTGACGTATGTCCCTAGAGTCACGGTTGAAATCAATTTTATTAGAAACTAAAAACAGAAACAAAAACTTTGATTTAGGGACAGAATGACACAGCAAATTAATTTTAGGGCAGATGTGGAAACGAATGAGACCTCCAAGCAGCACTTCCAACAACCATGTTTAATGAGAAGACGTTGGTTAGTTTATTTCTGAAATCTTTTAAATTCTAAGATCATCGCCCGCGACTAGAAGTTCTTGGCCTCATTTTCCATTTATCTCATTGTTCCTTCTTTTTCTTCATTTTTCATTTCTTTTTTTTTTTCTTCCAGGATGACGGCCTCCCAGAAAACGAACATCAGCTGTCAGTAGCTGGAAAGATAAAGAAGCATTTCAACACAGGCCCCAAGCCGAATAGCACAGCAGCCGGAGTTTCTGTCATAGCAGTAAGCATCTGAAATATCCACCTATAACTTTTAAAAGCAATCCACCTCAGAGACAGGCATTCCTCAGGAGACTCCACCCAGAGACAGCAGAGTGGGTCATTTCTTTAGACAGCTCGACCATTTAACGCACCGGGGGAGGTTTGGGGCTTATATATATTATGTGTTTTTGCCGAACATTTCCCTAGGAGTCACATCATTATCCAACACCTCCAGGGTGTCTTGCAGTATATATTAATTTCATGATTTATTTTCTAAAGCAGAAAACCTCCCCCACAGTGGAGTATGTGCCAATGCAAACTTTGGGGCTCTGAGAAAAAGAGTTCATAGTGTCCTTTTGCCAGGATCTAGAGGGAGAAGGAAGCCAAGAGAGACATCACTGCAGAGAGAGATGGGAACACTATAGATCTTTGTACAAGACCCAAATGAAAGCCAAAACATAGCAGAAGGCTTGCACAGTACGATTTTCAGGGAAACTGAATTGCCGTGAACACCCAAAGAAATAACGGTGTCATGCTCCTTAGAAATTTCTGTTTTTAAAGTTGAAAGTCTTTTACCATGTACCATTTTATTGATGTGGCTGCACAAGAATTTTTTCTTTCTGTTCTATACATGCAGACATACACTTTATGCAATTTGATAGCAGCTCTAGGCAAAGATTAAATTGGGCAGAGAAATAATGAAACCTCATACTTCCTGGTGTCATATTCTGGAGTAAATACATTCAAGTCCCAGATTACTTGAGTTTTTAATAATTTCCTCTTTTTTCAGAATATGTAAATTTTAACAGCATATTCAATGTGAAATCACTTGAGCTGTTTTTCTTTTCTAAACAAAGAACCTACACACTACAATGTCGAATTTTAAAAAGCATATATGCTACTAAAGAGTACCTTATTGCTCATGAAGAGTACTGAATGCTTTACCACTTCTTCAGGTATCTTTATTTCCTTTCCCTTTTTCTTTTTTGGTTGTACTAGAGCTCAGATAAACTAAAGACAGATAAGTGATATACTCAAAACAATCATTCCCAGATCCGGGTTTCTAAATATTCGATATGAGCTTCCAGAATTTGCAGATGGCACAAATGTATGCATACACTTTCTTGTACTGTTTGCATTTCATGTTTTTTTATTGAACCCTTTCAACAGCGAGTTGCGTGTGAGTAACTGGCTCACGAGCCCACTCACAGTGCTAAATACAATGCAGAATCTTTCAGATGCTTCTCAGTGCTGCCAAGAGTTGAAAATTCCAAGTTATTCTTCTTGCCCTCTCTCTCGAGTTCGTTCTAAGGAAATTCAGTGTAGAAGTACATTGTCCTTCATGTCTTTATAGATGTCGGTGTTCTTTGTTATCAGCTAATACTGAGTAATTTTTTAAAGTAACGGTCTCATGGCGATTCTCCACTAAACCAGACCTTCTGTACTCTGTTTTCATCATTCATTCAAGATATAAGTCTATTCCAAAACATTCGACTCCACAACTTTCTTTTGGAATGGACTGCCAGCACGCTTGTCCATGAAAAGGACTGGTTTTCTGCTCCTGCTGAGGGCTTATGGCTGCTAGAAAGGGTGCTTCTCCACCTCTGTCACTTTGTTTTTTGTTTTTGTTTTTCTTGGTCTTTTATTTTAATTAGTCTTTGGTTAAGTTTGCCTTGGTTGCTCAATAATGGTTTGTTCACAGTATTCTGGGAGTCTTATAATGACTGAGGGCAGGAACTTCAGGGCAATTTTCCAATGGATAGACAACACAGATTTGAGGAGAAATCCTACTTTAATCAAATTGGGATAAATTCTGAAACCGAATCCATCTGAGTTTATTAAAACTTTATCTAAGTAGATCTCAAAAATCTCTAACCTAGTATTTGAAGAGCAAGGCCTATAGATTTCTTTTCCCCCTAAATATCATGATTGGACCATTTTGAATACCATTCCATATCAGTTTCTCAGTTCATCACTAACATGTTTCTATGGAAACGCTACAAACTAGTAATGTACTTATAAGTTGTAAAACGGACTGTGTATGGCTGAGTGTGCACATTAGCTGTGTGCTTATTGAATCTTCTCTATTCACTATGCATCTAAAAAAAATCATCAACTTGACTCAGACTTAAAATAATTAGCTATGTGGAGAAATATCTGGGAAAGTGTCTTGTCCACTCTAAAGCACAGTTCATGTGTTCATCGGTATCGTTAATATTGCAAGCACGAGAGAGAACCTAACTGTGAATTTCAGGCGTTGTTTGAGGAGGACCGGGCCTTCCATGACATATGCATTTATGTGCCCACTCCGGAGTGCTTCTCTCTCATAAATGCCCACACCCTCCACTAGAACGTGGGGCAGGTGACCAGTGGCAGGGCGGGGCTGGGGTTGAGAAATTGGCCAGTTTGGCTCCCTTTGTGATTACCTTTCAGAATAGCATTGGATAAGTCATTTATAATCCACAGAAGTTTTCCCGTTCTTAGAGGGAGAAGACGAAGTTTCAGGGGACCATCACACGATAAAGGAGCCCTGGCATTAAATAATGCAGTTGACCCTTGATCAACATGAGTTTGAGCTGCATGGGTTCAGTTAGACGTGGATGTTTTTAAATAAATACATATAGGACTGTAAGTGTATTTTCTCTTATGATTTTCTTAATGACATGTTCTTTTCTCCAGTTTACTTTATTTACACAGTACGCAATACATACATAAAATATGTGTTAATATCTTGTTTATGTGATCAGTAAGGCTTCCAGTCTCCAGTAGGCTTTTAGTAGTTAGATTTGGGAGACTCAAAGTTATACATGGATTTTTGATGTGCTGGGGGTCAGCATCCCTAACCTTCTCATTGTTCAAGAGTCAACTGTTTTCCAGTTCAAACTAAGGTATAATTGCAAAGGAATGATACTCTGCTTTGAGGCAGACTGTAAGTGGGAGATAGGAGGAGTATCTTTCATAAATGGTACATCCTACAAACATCACTCAACAATTTAATAATGCTCTATAATTACTAATTCACCTACATGAAAGATTTCTATAATTAATATAATATAATAGCTTCTAATGATAGATAAGAAAACCTGATTGCAGCATACATTTCGTTCAGACGCAGTTTTTTCCCAGGGACATGTATGTTCTCCCCAGAGGCTATAAAATAATGTATTTTAACTTTAAACTGCCTTTATGTGACCGATTGTTTGGAAATTATACACACCCTTTAAAATGAAAAAAAAAAAAAGGTATTTAGTATCAGCCAGCTTATATTTTCAGGAAATCAACAATTAAATCATTAATCTTTAACTGGCACTCCTCTTTCCTTAGTTAGAAATCTAACTACCCACTGGAGAGCAGCAATGCTTATAAAGGAATTCATGACACTTTTTCTTTCCCAGAGTGACAAAGGAAAAAGAGCATCCTGTCATAACAAACAGAGTCTAGTCTCAGATGTAATTTATGACATGAGCGTGGTTTAACATACGCTCGTGGTTCTGAACCTCAGTGTTTTTTGTTCCTGTTGTCATTTTTTTTTTCTTCTCTGCTTCCCATCCTTACATTATTAAGACCAAAGAAAGGACAAATGATAACTTTATATTAAGGTTGCAAGAGGTCCTCAAGTTGGCCAGGAGAGTAATTACCAGCTGGAGGCTCATGGGGATCATCCGGCCCTTCTAAAAGGAGAAAGGGTGTTCTGACATTGAGGTCAAGTGACGTGATTAGGTGGAAACCCATTGCTATCCTTGTAAATGCAGCGCTTTGCCTTCTCAGAAAGAGTCTATTGTCCCTTTACTACCTTTCCCAGTAGTTGGGGGATTAAAACACACACACAGACACACACACGCACGCACACACACACACACACACACAACAGAGAAAGGGAAACAAAAGGTTATTAAAATGCAATTTACAGACATAAAATGGAATTAGAGATGACATTTTAACGGTGGACTTCTTGGGAACGGAGGGAGGGAGGGAGGCGTTATTAGATTTGCTCAGCGTGATGAAGAACCGATGACTAAGATGTCAGTTCCAATTTATTTTTCCTCATTTAATTCTGTTTATTATTTTAACCGATAATTTTCCTGATGCTTTAAAGTTCTTCCTTTGCATTTTGCTCATGCAAATAGAGCATTTCAGTCTAATTGAACAAATCCGTACTAATCAGTGTGCAAATAATTGTGATTCTGGGAAGCCGAGTTGTACAGCGAGAGCCGGTGGCATTGCGCCTTCCCGTGTGTGTCCTGTTATGGGACACTTGGCCTGTAGATGGCAACAGAGGACTAGTTACCAAAGTAGCCAACTCTGTGGACTGCAACAGAAGTGCAGGACTTCATTTGGCTCCCTAACGGCAAGGATACTTGGATTCTTTTTTTTTCCCCTAAATGAAACGAAATGCACATTTTCTAAAGATTAAAATCTCACGTTGCTGTTCCGTGAACACTGAAACAGCCTAGTTTATAATCAGGACACTGAATCCTCCAAGCAGGTTTTAGTTTAAACGTCTGGTGTCCCGGCATGTTTTTGCAATGCCTTTGTGAATTCAGAAGTAGAAACTGTCAGCTCAGCGCCAGCACCACACGTGAAAGCACTCACGGGCATCTCTAAAGAAAGGTGTGCGTGTTGCATCCTCTCGCAGGCAGAATGGGCGAGTGGGCGTACGATGATTATTGTTTTCAAATTTGGGGGTTGAACCTTTTACTCCTAGGTAGCCAAAGCCTAACATCTTATTCCAGGATGAACAACTTTGAGAACTTATCCTGCCTTCTATTTACTGTACCTTTTGTTAATCTTAAGCTCTTGACTGTACATATGCATTTTTAATATACAGTGAAAACAATTTTTCATTTTATTTTATTTTCTATATATTCATAGAGAAAACTTACTGTTTTATATTATATCTTTTTAATTCAGAAATGTAATTAAGATTCACCTTTAAGAGTAGCTCTGCTTTCAAAGATTAACTCTTAAAGAAAGAAATCCAAATTGCTGTGATTTGTGAGGGTTCTTGTCATCTTTTATTTC